TGCAATAAGTGGTGTTCCATGTCAAATCAAATTTTATTAGTATAGCTCATATTCACAAATCACAATTTGTCTCATATGACAACACAAGGTGCTCTCTCTCTTTGTCTCTCTCTAATTATCACATAATGATTGGTACTTTTCTTAAGTTAGAGAGCAGCGCACGCATTCATCAGCTGTCCCGCTTGTTCTCTTCCCCTCACACACACACACACACACACACACACACACACACACACACACACAAATAGTGTGATCAGACACGTGTAAAATCAGACTGGGTAAAAACAACAGACTCTGTAAGCTTAGTCAATGTATGTAGAGGAGATGGCGACAGGCTCGGTTTGGTTTGACGCAGTTGGTGCAGTGCACAGCGGGAAATGATGTAGACACAGGGAGGAGCAGTAAATTACTGGCAGAGCCACTAAAAACTGTAAGAAAATAACTTTTCATGGTCCAAACAAGTGTGAAAAGACCCAAAATGAACACTGTGGGACTGAGTGGAGCTGTGTCTGGCTCCCTGGTGTCTGCCCTGGGCTTGGCACTGTGACTGGGCTGTGGAGCTGTCCGTGGTCCCTGCGTCTGTAGCCAAGTGGAATTTTGTTCAATAAAACCATGTTGTTGGAATGGAAATAATGCTAGTGTCTGCTAGCCTACTAACTGTATGGGGTCTATGTAAGCAGTGTAACCAGATCAGAAAGACTTTAACACCGTATACATAAGCATTTTATTATTTATCGCAAGTCATATCGTCATCGCAATATTCAACAATGTTATCACATGTTGCATGTTTTCCTTATAGCGTTTTACCCTGCACTCACACACTCAAACGCTGCTCATTCACTTGAATTGGCTGAAGTCAGGCAAAGCCAAACGGCATTGTTAGATGTAGTGCAGAGTTAAACTTTCCATGCTGCAGCGAAGGCAACATCCAGTCAAATTGTGTTTAATCAAATACTCGAGTAGGTGCGAGCCAATCCAAACACGTGAATATTAAAGAGGAGGCAGCTAGTGAACCTTGTGTAAGCTCATTTCTTTGTGGACACGCTTGTGCACACCAACTGTCAAGCATCAATCCATCAAATGCATGTGCGTCCTCCTTTAGAGGGGGTGCAACTGTACAAGTCAATGAGAAATCAAGACATAAGAAGATGCTGTATGAGGATGCATCAATTGCTCTCTTAAAAGCTCATACAGTTGTCATGTCCTCCTCACACACTCTCACATATTTACGTTTGCTTGGTAGCTAGTAGAGGCAAATGAGCAAACTGAGTCCAGCTGCTTCTGTGAGGTAGAAAGTTATGTCTGCTATGTGGGAATGTGGCACAGAAATCAGGGTTTTGCAGAAGCTGCTGGCGTTAGAGTTGGACAGTTAATCAATACCATTCAAACATCCCTGTTCTGCTTTGGAGTTCAGATCGGGGTCACAGTGGGATGAAGGATACACATGGTAGCAAGGTTACGTAGTATGATAGTATGAGGAGCTTGGAATTGGCACTGAAACCCAGTATCAAGCGTGTGTGCGTGCGTTGCTGTGATAATGCATTTCAATACATGACCTGATGTCCTTTTTGTATCTATACTGTCTTCTTAATTTCTTAATTCTCTTTGTGTTGTAGTGGTGAGCAGGACCGGACATGACTGGAGCCGGAAGCAGTGAGTAATGTTTTAGGCTCCTATTGTTTGATGTGTCATCTTTGAAAATATCCCATCTTATTCTGTCTCCTTCCATGTATGTTAGGCGGCCAGGGTCCGCCTGATGGGACGGATACTGAGGAGGCGGAGAGGTGTCCTATCTGCTTGGGCGTCCTGGCCGGAGGCGAGCTCGCCATGCCAGACAGCTGCTGTCATGTCTTCTGCCTCAGATGCCTCCTCACATGGGCAGAGGTAAAGAAGCTGTGCATTAGCATTGAGCTGAATAGTGACCAAAAAGCATAAAAGTAATGGGAGGGATTTTGTTTCTACTACTGTTTATTAGAATCCAACACACATCATTGGCTTTTAAAATTGTGGTGTGGGATTACACAATATAAAGCCTGTAGCAATCAACAATGCCTGCCTTGTTTATCAGCTCATTTGTGAAATACATTTTTTTGTATAACCCAAAATCATAAAGTGGATTAGAAGAGCTTATTGTCATTGTTTGTTTTTTAAGCTGTATGCATCTTATATTACCATGTTCAAATTTGGATGTGTTTTACTTTGAAGTTACAGATGGCTCCTTCCTGTCCAGTGGACAGAAGACCTTTCACTAATGTTTACAGATGGGATGGGAATCTGAGCTGTGTGCAGGTCAGTCTGATTTATATCTGCACCTTCTCTGTCATAGTTTAAGATACCAGGGCTGCTGGTGTTTTCTGTAATCCAACTTAATATAACAAAGTGTTTACCTGCTCTGTAAAGTCAATATTCCCTGGCCTGTTTTCAGGAAAAAATGTTCTCACTGACTCCCACACTTGCATTGTGTCCCTGTGCTCCAGCCATGCCAGCAAACTGTTGTACATTTTTCCCCCAAAAACACATGTGCATCTGTCCTTGCTGTTTAAAGGTTCCTGTGAGGAAGAGAACAACTCAGCTTGAAGCTGAAATTTGCTGCTGTAGAAACCCTGAACAAAAAGTCTGTCTCAAGTGAGTATTAGCTTTTTAAAATGGAATCATAAGGTGTTATAGTCCCTTTTTTAAGCCATTGGAATTGGGGACGTTTTAGGATATTTAGATTGATTTTCAAGCAGTGTACTTTGGAAACTAGTCCCTGAACAATGTAGGTGTTGTTTTGTTTTCAGAAGTAAACCTCCAAGAAGATTGAGACGGCAAAAAGCAGAGAGGACGGCAGATGCCATAACAAAAGGACTTGTGAGGAAATGTATGTCAAAACCCTTCTTCCTTCATTAACGTGTCCTACTCACATGTCTTCAGCAAGATCTAACTTGTCTGTAAATGCCTGTTCCAGGTAACGATGAAGACCCCTCGTCTCTGAGCAGAAAAAAGGTACATTTCATTTTTTCATTTCATTGTCTTAAATGCACGTTGGTTGACTTTTACTTCAATGTTAATGCCATCGATGTTTGTATTTCCTCTAGGTGCGAGGAACAGAGTGCTGCACTTGGTCACCATCTCCCTGTGTCTCAACCACACCATCACAGGACATGTAAGTCACACGTCCCTAAATGAATGTGTTATTATGGTATGTAATATATATTATGATAAATGATGACAAGTATAGTAATTCTGTGTGTGTCTGGACTAAAGTCCTGTAGTGTGGTCTAGTTGTGAGACGAAACAATAACCTGGTGTTCAGAGAGGTCATTAGGTCAGGAGAGCAGTGCGTTTTAACCAGGCCCCCTGCTGGAATACGAGAAACATTGCCTCCAATGGTCTATTGGCATTTGAACATAATATTCCATAAATCACTTATTTCATTTATCTTGCCAACTGCATGCACATCTGCCATCCGTGTCAAACATTGACATAACTAACGAAGCAGCAAGTCTATATTTCTCTTTCACAATTGTTGCATGTTTAAAAATCCACATTGTGTCAGAAAACTTTTGTTCATACTAAAAGTTTTTGGAGCAGGTTTGATGTGCTGCGTTTTTTTGGCATTTTTCATAGGCTGGATCACAGGAATTAGTTTTCTTCTGTTTAATATGGCGCCTCAGTGCTGGCAGCATATCAAACCGGACCCCTGCTATCTTGAAATAGACTTTAAGGCGATAGAGATAATTTTGCAGCTCCTTAATCTGATGAAATTCTGCTTGTTCCTCGTGGTTTTTCATGATTGGATATCAGAATTACTTATAAGTCATAACAACAAAATCATCCTCACTGCTCAACACCATTTTATCTCCTCCTGTGAATTTTCAGGATGACTAATAAAACACATAGGACTAAGTGCGCGTGAGGATTTTTATTTGATGATGGATTTAAAAACACATACCCGAGATGAAACGGTTACAGTTTTTTTTACAATTAACCACAGTAAAATTCCCATCGGATTAGTTTAACCTTGTGAAATGTAAATGATCATATAAACACAGTTTATTACATCATGTCAAAAACTTGTCCAAGCTCAACCACTAAAGAATACATAAGGTGCAGCTGGATCATTTGTGAAGAACGTCATAAAAACAACAACTTCTTGTCATGTCCCTGCAGTGCAGAGCCTGTTTGGGTGACAGAGGAGATACCTTACGATGCTGGTTTCACACCCTGCAAACCCAAAGTGCAAGAGTGTCCGTGGCTGACTCCTGCTGCTCCCATCCCTGTCAATGGCACCTCAAGGTAATGAAATCTCACCTGATCTCGCTCTGGAGCCACAGATTACACAGTACAGCTGTACAGAGGACTGGTCAAGCAAATTCCAAGCAATTTGGAAGCAGTTTTCTCTTTAATGTCCAGAGCAGAATCATTTCAGTTCAACTTTTGTGGCACCAGTATAGATGCACAGATGTGAGGAAAATAAAAGTCTGTCTCCTGTTTTTCCACTGTTCAGTTATTCAAATGTTTGACAATGAGTCACCCAAACTGCAGTTGTTTGAAAACCACAGAGGAGAGCTGATTCTCTGCTTCAGTACAGAGAAGCACATTTTGTTTGTGAACACAGTTTTTGGACTCACATTGATTAGTAATCAGCATCAGGACTTTGGAGGCACAGTATCAGTAACGAAGGGATGATGATGAAATAATAGGAAATGAACAAACATTATCAACAGCTAGGTTTTTATAAATTCAGCCACTGATGGAATGTCTGGCACCACATTTACTCTTGTCTCTGTTTTACAGGCGGAGTTTCCATCCTGCAAGTTGGAACCACAGCCCATTTCCATTTGGACTCTGCTCATCTCCCTTGACCTCCAGCTCAGTGTTCAGCCCCGGACATTTTGGTGAGTCACGTCTGAGACATTGTGAAAATCATTGGAGTTAACTGTGTACAATTTTACCAAGAGACAGAGATTTTGGTTGTCATTTTAAAAGTGCATTTAAATAGCTGCTGTAGTTTATTGACCTCGGCACACCTCCTACATGCGCTGCTTGATTCAAGTGCTGAAGGTCCTGGTTCAAAAAACGATTAAATAATTGATATGGCATGAATGAAATATTAATTTGGGAGTTTGACGTGAAAAGATCAGCCAGATGAGAAGATAGATCACTTTGTTGGAGTTGTTAGATCTACAGAAAATGAGTTGCAGAGTGAAGCGTCTTCCCTCACAAAGGCTCCTTGATAGAGTACGAGTCACCATCAAGCTACATTACCCTTTAATTAGCGATGGCTGACATAAACTCAGCTATTCCAACTTGAGTCTGTGAAAGTGCCAGTCAGCATCAGCTAAAAACAGGAATCTGAATGTTTGTACATGGCTCTTGTTTGCCAATTAAAAGAGAGACGGTTGCCATGTCCCAATTCCTCTCCCATGGCTTCCCTAGATAAGAAGTGTCCTTCACTGTAAGTGTCCCCCTCCAAACGGAGCCATAAGGGGGAGGGGAAGAAATCCTCCCCTAGGAATTGGGAGACCACTTGCTACATCATAAGCATCCAACCATGTTATTATATCAACAACTGTTATCAACCAAGATTATAGTGACACATCTGACGGGACAGATAAATACACCGTCAGTCAATCATTGGTTATTTTAATGTTACATTAGTCCTGTCCAAATAAACTTCTGCTTCCGCACTGAAACGTTATAACTTCAAACTTCTTGTACAGGACAGAGGAGTCATGACCATACTTGTTACTCTCACTCAGACTGTTCTCATGCTTGTTTAGGTTAGAGTGGCAAAGAAGTGATTTCTAGGGAAAGAAAACATTTTATCTGGGTGAAACTAATATACTTTAAAGACGTGTTATCAGTTTTGTTGATCTTAAACAAATCATTGTTTCTGCCTGTAAACACAGTTGGGTTTTTGATCATATGACTTCTTTCCCACAGTGTTTGAGGGTGTTGTCTGCGCCATCACATGTCCCAAAGGAGGAGAGAAGAGAGGCAGCCGTGCCTCAACCTCCAAAGCGCCCACCAAAGAGGCAGAGTCTGTACCGACCAGACGATCCGGACGCAACAGTAAAACCCAGGAAGAGACTCCAGCGACTGACCCCTCATCGCCGCCTCAGTCCAGCTCATCAGACTCTGACTCATCTAACAACAACCAGACTGCCAAGCCAGCCAAGACTTCTCAGGCACCGGCCAAGAGGAAGGTGACAAACCGAAAGGCCAGCGGCAAGCGGAAAGCCGCGGCAAGAAAAAAGCGCTCTCCCGAACCCATTAGCAGTCTGGCCGCTAGTGAGGGGGAAGAAGATGCTGACGGAGTTGACAACAAGGAGAAGGAGGAGGACGAAGAAGACAAAAGTGATAAAGAGCCGGATACAAACATATCAGAGCAGCAGCAGTCTGATACTGAAGGGAGCCTCAGTGCCGACCAGGACGGTGTCAACTCTGCTGACGTGCAAGTAAGTGCAGAATCTCTGAGTAACGACGCGGCACAGGACAGTGATGACACTCAGGAACCACCTCATGAACAAGAAGAGAAGCCAGATGAGGACGATGACGAGCCGTATTACCCCCCTGACTTGTCTGCTAACAGCCCCAGTTCATGTTCCGAGGGCGACGAGAGCAAAAAAGATGAGGAAGAGCCAGCCAGCCCAGTTTCCTCTGTAGACAAGTACTCTGAGAAAACTCCTTCACCCTCTGACTCTCACAACGCTCTGCTGGAAGACCTGACGTCTCCATGCTGTGATGAGCAAACAGGGCAGGATGATGAAATGGAGATTTCAGAGTCCGAAGAAGCCAAGGAAGCAAAGGCTGACTCGTTTGAAAACTTGTCAGAACCTGGCTCGCCCCCTGCTGGGGATTCACAGGATGTTCTAGCTGACCCTGGAGCGAAAGCTTCTGAAGACACTGTCTCTAAAACGCTTGTAACAGAAGAGCAGTCAGTCGGTGACAGTTCTGGGGAAGAAACCAAGGATGACGGTCCCTCCAAGGATGACACTAATGTAATCCCCATGGACTGTAGTTCACCCATGAGTGACCATGGTAACGGTGCCATTTTGGATCTGCCAAAGGAGAGTGCTGACCCAGCTGATGCGGGAGCCCCTCCTTCTGAAAGCCAAGTCACCAAGGACGAGAGCCACAAGGACCAACAGGAGAGGGAAAAGAGCCCGGAGAGGAAGAACGGCAGGCAGCGGCGCTCTCGCTTCCACTCCCCGACCTCCACCTGGTCACCTAAGAGGGAGTCCAAACGTGAATCATCCAGGCGCTCACGCTCACGGTCTAGAGAGCGGGATGGCAGCCCGCCTTCCGGCCACTCGTCCCGGGCTCGCAGCAGAGAAAGAGACAGGGACAGGGATGGCGAGAGAGACTATTCTAGGAGGGAGCGTAGTCATGAAAGGAGGAGACGGCGATCGAGGAGTCGCTCTAAATCCAGGTCCCGCTCTCGGTCCAGGTCCAGATCCAGAACAAGGTCTTACAGACGGGGGCCCAGCCCCGAATGGCCAAACTCCAGAGAGCAGTCTCCACAGAAGAAGGAGCGCAGAGGCGGATGGAGGCCAGGACAGGGTGGTGGGTCAGGTAGTGAGGGACGGAGGTATCACGGAGGCGCTGGCCGCTTAGAAAATGGTGTGCCTACCGAAGGTTCCCCTGATCGCCAGGCCTGGTCAGATAATCCTGACTGGGTTACAGAAAAGACTCGCGGGGAAGCTGAAAGCAAAAACCGGGATGCTGGTTTTAGCGGCGGCTCACGCTGGGAAGACAACCGCAACAGTGGTGGGAACAGAGGAGAGACACGTGGCAGGGGGGGCCGGGGAGGTGTTGAACGGGGGCGGGGTGCCGGGCGGGGCGGTGGCAGCCGTAGCTTTTACAATCAGCAGGAGGAAACGGGCGATAATCGCTGGCCCAGAAATAACTTCTCAGGTACAGGCAACAATTCAGGGAATGATGCATACAGCCGCTTCAACGAAAACCGAGGGGGTGGCCGGAGAAAAGACATGGATCCAACTGACTCTATGCTCGATCGGTCGGGGTGGTCATCAGCATCCAGCTGGGCTGTCAGGAGAACGCTTCCTGCGGACGTCCAGGACTATTACTCAAAAAGGGAGAGGGGAGGAGCAGGAGGCTGGAACAGATCAGAGGAGGAGCAGCCAGCAGCAGCAGCAGCAGGAGCAGGTGAAGCATCCTCAGTCTTTGTTGGTTATCACTCCCAAAACACTAAAACACTCCTGCTCGAGAAAACTTTTCAAAAAGCAGGCCATGAATCAGCCAACTTTCCTTCTAAAATAGAAGCAGTAGTCGTGTCTTTGATGCTCAGAGAGGAGGATAATTTTAGTGCTGTGACGCAACTGTGAACAGACAAAAAACCTCCAGGCTCCTGCCCTTTGTTGAATTTTTGAGGAAACCGAACTTTGATGTTTTGAATTTATTCCGATGAAAATCTCTCATTTGTATTAGGCGCTCACACTGTTACACAGTTAATGGCAGAATCCTCCAGATTTCTGCCATTAACTGTGTATACACCTCTGTTACATGCAGGTTTTTAAATGAACTTCTTACATATATGAATACACAGTCTAAACCCACTTCAAAAGTGGGAGTGTTATATCTTTTATACATTGCAAAGTTTGCATTCTGTTTTCTTTACTCCCCAGAACTCCCTAAAAGCGAGCCTCCTCCCCAGGCCGTCCCAGGTAACGCTCCGGTGCCGGTGATGAACGCCATTCCTCCTCAGCTGAATGTTCTTCACCACCACTACCCCATGCAGGGCCCGCGAGGAGCCCTGCCCGTCAGCTTGCAGCCTGCGGCCCCATACGCCATGCCCCCTCAGGTTCCCGTGCACCTCCACCCTGCAGTGCCGCTGCTTCAGGTGCCCGCTGTTGGCGCTCAGGGCCTCCCGCCTCCCCCTCCGCCGCCTCCACCCTTGCAGCAAGGCAGCCAGACGGCAGCAGCTCAGCCTGATGGCCACATGTCTCAGGTATGTTAAACTGGGAACAACTGCTGAAGATGGGAAGGGATTAAGTTCTTCATCCTGCATCTTTATTAGCATTAAAACTAGCTTCAGTTGAAATAAGCATATAAGATACTGTGTTAATGCTTTATTTATATGTATTGTCATTTTCTGGCTTGCGTTAGATGTCGAGCACCATGATGGGTTATGGGAAACCTGCCCTGCTTCCCACCCCTACCAAAGCTGGTGCCACATTGACCCAGATGCACCAAGCCCAGAGCCAGATGTTCCCATCCTCTACCACTCAGCCCGGCCACAACAAGGCTCAAGCCGACAGCTCCAAAAAAGAAAAGGTAGAAGCAGCTGTCTGTCTGTCACTCCATGAGAGTGTTTTGTTTCTTTTTGTTTGTGTCCACTTTATTTTCAAATCATCCTGTCATCCTCTTCCCGCTCCAGAAACAACAGATCCAAGAGAGAGCTATAAATGAAGTGAAGACAGCCATCAAACCTTACTACCAAAAGAAGGAAATCACTAAGGAGGAGTACAAGGAGATCGTCCGCAAAGCAGTTGAGAAGGTAAACGCTTCTCTCGTCACTTCTGGAAATTCAATTTTTCTTTTTTAATAATGGTCGTTTTATTTTAGTCAGGCGCAGCTGCTCATTTGTAGTCGAATATCTGTTGCTGGAGGGTATCGGCTGTAGCTAGCTTGTTAATTAAGCGAACGGCACATCAGGAATTTTTCTGGAGCGGCCGTATGTGAGAACACAAATGTCTGAGTCAGTTGCTCTCAACATTTTGCAGAACTTTTTCCAGTTATTTGATGTTACATATACATTTTTTTAACCTTGCTGGACCTTTACATTTGCAGAATATCTGATATAAGCTTTAAAACACACTGTTTATTCTAATAAACATTTTGCTGTGTTTATTTTCCAGGTGTGTCACAGCAAGAGTGGGGAGGTGAACTCCAGCAAGGTGGCCAACCTAGTGAAGGCCTACGTGGACAAATACAAACACGCCCGCAAGAAATGAATCTATGGCGTGCTGTTGGCGCAGCGATTGCCCTCGCTGAACCATTCAGCTGCTCAAGTGCAATTTCCTCAAGCTGGAATTTGGCCTCCAAACTGAAAGAGGACGGAGCGCCAGCATTTTCATTTTTTTGGATATCTGTACCTTTTATTGAATGAAGATTTTTTTCTATAGATTTTCATATTTTGTTAGAAAAAGAATGACCCAATCAGAAATTGTAATGCAAGAGCCCTTTATTTTGCATAGATCATGTGACTTGGGAACTACTGTAAGGAGCGCAGGGTGGGGTGGGGGTGGGGAAGAGGGTAGATACTGAAGATGCAACGCTCAGTGAACAACGTTAGCTCGTGTAGTGGAGAGCCTCTCCCAGGGTGCCGGCTGGTATGATCAACGTCTCCTCCACGGCATCCTGATCACATAGCTTATTGATTATTGTCAATGTTCTTTTTTAAATATATAATATTTCAGAGGAAAGCCTAGTTTAAAAAAAAAAAAAGAAAAGTGCATTGCCTTTATTAATCTCTGTGGCCCCGATGATGGGTAGGAATCTGATGAGTGTGATTGTAATCAGGGCCCTGATTGGTCGATGGGCGGGATGGCCAATCAGCAGCGAGTGTGTAACGGAAGGTGCAGGTCCCGGAGGGGGACAGCCGAGCTGAAACTGACCCCCGCACCCTGCCTGAATGTGTAATAACTGTCAATGCGAGAACATGAACTGTGCAAAGTATCCAGAGAGTAGTGAAATAAATTAGCTGCTTCCTGATGCTCCGTGTGTTTGTCACAAACGTCTCCGTTTCACCGGAGGACGCGCCGTCATTTTGTCTCCGTCTTTGAGCCGGTGGACTGCATTTCCCAACAATCACCTCTCAAACAACCGGTGACGTGTGTGTTACTTGTGTTTTGTGCACAGGGTTTGTCTCTGTGCCTCTTGAATCGTCCAAGGAAACAACCACCAGACATGAAGTGAACAGCTTCCATGAAATAGATACAGCATGTCAGAGCACTGCTACACTACAGAGTGTTAATCTCAGAGATATTTACATCTAAATGTGCCCGACTACGGTTTTCCACTGAACACAGGTCATTTCATTTCCTCAGACTGTCGGCCAGTGGACCTGTGTGTGGAGGTTAACATGATGTCACCACACTCTGAACTAGTCCCTACTTGGTCTTAAAATGTCCAGAAATGTAATAATCTGAATTGTAGCCTTTAAAAAGTCTTAAATATCTTCAAATATTACGCACGAGGCCAAACACATTTAGGAATGTCTTAAATATGTTTGTGGTCATTTAACTCTGCTTCTGTTGTGCTTTAAAATTATTTGGCCAATGCAGAACTGATAAATACAAACACCCCAGTCAGAATTTATCTCAGTACACTGGGCTTGGTTATGTGAAAGACTAAAGATATCAACTTTCTCCGCCTGTAGTTTTAGAGAGAGCGTTTCAAGCTTTATTTCACTTCACTTTTCAGTATAATAATTTGGCACTTGGGTATTTCTTCATATCTGTTAAGTCATAAATTCAAGAACAGTTTGTGTGTGTGTGCAGAACTACAGACACCACAACACAGATTTGCTCTGTACAACTAACAGAGTGGTGTTTGAGTGCCCCTGTAAACCATGGCAGATCCAGCATGCAGCACCAGGGGCCTGAAACTGAAGCAGCTGAATGGAACACAGCCATGTTGAATGTTATTTACACTTGACGTGCAAAAGAAATCACAGTTTCTTCATACGGTCCAGAGCGTCTGTCCCATCAGCCGCTCGGGTGAAGTCGTGCATGTGTGTTTGCCATGGTCCTCACTGACTGATGAGTGTAATCATTTGTGCAATGCAGAATAGTTACGCCGGTTTATATAAATCCCCTGGAATGAAATCTTGTAAGCGTGAGGTCATGGACTGTACATAAAAACTTCATATAAGACTTTATACAGTCTATGCTTTGTGTTTATACTCAGTGAGCGAAGCCTGCGTTTATTCACATTTATAATTCTGTATATTCAACAATCTTTGATATTCAGACCTAATGTGACCATTAGATTTTTTTGTTTACAATAGCGATGCAATGAATCTAGTATTTTGGGGGCTGTTTAAACAAGCTGGTAGAATAAATCACAGGGATCTGAGAAAACACAGCAGGTCTTTATTACTTGCACTTAATTTAACAATAGTGAGTAGTAGTCATACAAATGTGTCATCTGGTAAAATTCTAAAAAGAGGTTGTTGAATGATCTTATCCCAGATGGGGTGCATCCTCTGGGGACCACTAGGGGGCAGTGTTGTCTAGGGTAAAGTGATTTTCCTCATTCTTTAGAAAGTACAAATAGTTCCCAGCGGGAATGACGTGGTCTGTCTATCTGTAATAATCACAATATAAATATCCACAACTGTTTGTTTTATACACTCAGAGATGTAGAGGGATCATCCTGATGGGGGATCTGCTACAGATCCACCGAGTAGCGTCCAGGTCACTTTTAACTCGGTGTCCTCGTAAAAACCACATGTTCACTCTGTTCAGAGAGAGACATGTGGACACGGGCCATGTTTTAGTTTGTGTCTGGTCTAACTGGACAGAGGGTGGCTGATCCAGGTTCAGGGTCAAGGCCACAGTGGAAAAGTTAAGGGGAAAAACGTACAGAGATGTTTTCCTAATATGTAGAGTACCTCCATGTTCAGTCCTAATGCTGGAAGTCTTGATATAGAAGTTATAACATGGACGTATTAGTTTAAGATGCACGAGGCTGAAAGGTTTAATCACCTCTGCCAAGGAGCTCATATTTATGTTAGTGTATGTCTCTGTCTTTCAGCTGGAAACTGTTGACTCAGTATTATTGTAACTTTGTCAGGATGGGACTGAAGCTGAGAAAGACACAGTTTGGCCTGGAACACTTTCTGTAACATTTGGAGCCATTTCTTTTGACATTTTTCTTGATCTCTCAGGGAAAGGTTCATGGATCTTGATGAAAGAAATCAGGCATATTTAGGAGACAGATTCTTTGAGTGTGTGTAATTTGCTGCAACTTGATTGAATCTAAGGAGACTGGTGGTCTTGGCAGAGGTAGGCGGTCTGCTGGTGTCTAAGCAGAAAAGCAAGATCAAACTGCTATAAATGAATGGGAAAGATTTATTTGTATCTTTCCTTTATTCTCTGTAATAATTATTTTGATGTTTGTGTTAAATATGGTAAAAATGAAGCAATCTGCCACTGCATGACAGAGGACCTGGTCAGGCTTAGCTCAGTGTCTCCAATAAACCACATCCACAAACCCTGCTCAAGAAAAAAGGGACACAAAGAACACCAACAGTCGATGCCATAGATTATCTTTGATTTTAATTGGACATTAATTACAGGATATACATAGTGTTTCATTGAAACAAGGGTGTAACACTGGTGGGCAAAGCCCTCTTTGCTCTTGAGGTCAAGAGACGGCTCACGTTCTCTCTAAACCAACACGGGCGTCCAGAGCGTTTTGCTAATACAGGTTGTTGATCAAAGGGCCGAAACGGAAACAAAGACTGCTGCTGCCCTCTCTCCCTGTAGTTTCCACATGTAACAGTTTTCACAGACTCGACACAGACGGATGATCCAGGATAATTCAGTCAGTCTTAATGGAGATGAGCGGCATGAGCTTGTTTGCATCGAAGCAAATTCAACATCGCAAATTTCACCAGCATCGGGTTCTTTGCACTTTTTGTTTTACAGCTCGAATTCATTATCGTTTA